ATATATATATCAATCCCTAATTTCAGTAATGTAGAGCAAAGGAAAAGAGAGCAGCAACTCCACCATTGATAGCCATTAAAAAATTTTAAAACTTTGAATTCGAATTTGGGTTTTCAAAAACCATTATTTGTTTGGGTTGGGTGTTATTGCAAACAATTGGGAATATTGTTTGGAGTTTATATCTCAATTTTGAGGGTGTTTTGGTGAAGATTAGACTTGATTTTGACTGAATTTCAGATTGAAACTCGAAGAAGAAGAAGAAAAAGACATAACGTATATTATACTTACGAAATTGTAGTAAAGTAGTAGTAAAATTGTAGAAAAATTATATTCTGTTGTTTATATATATATTTTTTTATTTAAATATTGTATGAAACTTGAACAATATTTGTATAAAAAATATATTTAAGTTGTATGATATTGTAGTTGTATATAACTGGGTAGAAATAATGTATAAAAGTTGTAGATAAGTTGTATAATATATAATTAGTTGTATTCCCAATTGTTTTTACTATGTATAAATTAAATACAAAATATACAAAAGACATATTGTATAAAATTTGTATAAAAATTGTATTTAAGTTGTATGATATTGTAGTTGTATATAATTGGGTAGAAATAATGTATGAAACTTGTACATAAATTGTAGATAAATTGTATAATATATAACTATTATGTATATATTATACTTTTATACTTTTATTTTTTCTATTAACTTCAACCATATATTGTCCAAATGCCTAGTAATGTGTATTTCAGGTGTTGGATGGGCAGAAGGTGGTTCCATTGAGGGCCAAGGAGTTGGGTTTTCCATTCAAATACCGATATATCAAAGACGCTCTGAAAGCAATCATGTCATGACTCATGAGACCATCAATCATCAACCAATTTTTTATACATCTTGAAGTTGTCAACTTCATAGGGTCCAAAAGAGTATTGAGCTAATGCATTTCAATGGCACGAGAGAAAAAAAGACGAAACAAATAATTGTTCTCTTCCTTGTCTGGCGTAACACTTTTTCCTCATTTTTATCCAATTTGTAAACATCAAGCATGTTTGAAAAGTATGTGCACCTTCAATGGAGTATGTCTTTTCCTCCATTGAAGTCGTCAACCAATACTACTAAATTTATTAGACTTGGTATGTCAATTGCCTAAAAAATGGAGTATGTCTTTTCCTCAATTTTTGCTAGAACCAACTGGATGTCATTAGAAAAAAACTTCGTACAATTTTGCGAAAAATTAAAAAGCTGCTCCAGAAGCATTTCTAATTTTAAAATGACACAGTCCCGTTCACAACTTGCCCCTTCTCGCTCTAATTTTAAAATATGAAAATGGGCCAATCTTGTATTATAAGAAAGAGAGAGGAGAAAAAAAAAAGAAAAGTGTAACTAAATCTCTTGATTGAAGACACAAATAATAGATTTGGAGCCTTTTAAGATGGATTGTATATATTTTATAACTAAAATGTGTTTAGGTCCGGTAAATACCAAAATATGGACATTTTTCGTAATAATGTTTCAAATAGTGTATAAGAATGAAAAAATCCCTTGTTTTTTCGCAAATATTTGCTGTTATTCTTCTAATCCTATTAGCATCGCCTATTTTCATTCCTCTGTATATAATGGTCAAGAATTTTATCTGTTCGAAATTAGAAATTTAGTATTTCTAACGAAAATATCTATTAATTGATCTTCACAAAGATTTTTTGTATTTCTAACGAAAGCTTGAAAAGGGTAAATTAACACATATACTTTTAACAAATATAAAAAGTTAAAAAACAAAGAGGTATTATGAAATCAAAGATTTTTGTTAAGTAACTTTTATTGCATATGTGCAAGATTTAATTTTCTTAAGTATCTTATGTTCTTCTTTCCATAACTGAAGTCTTCCGTAATCTTTAGAATTAATAAAAAGTACGAGTACATATAATAAAAGTGTCAAAAAAAAACCAGCCAAAAGATTAACAAAAAAAAAATTGAAACTAACAAAATGAAAAAAAATCACTTATGCGGGGCGGGGCGGGGCGGGTGGACGCGTGTGTGGATGCGGGACGGGTGAATGCGGGTGCAACTGCTATGCGGGGTGGGTTGAAATTTTGCGGGTTAAGAGAAAACACGCCCCACACCCGCCCCACCCCGCTTGCCATCCCTACGCTCAGATGTACAAAATTTTGATCAAAATTCATAATCTTGAACAGCATAAATCCCAAACTTTTGGAATCTAAGTTTCATGATTCGTTGTTCTGAAAAAGCTGAATGACCGAGTCCAAGGTCCTCACCAAAACTACTTCAAATGAAATTGAAACACTGCCAATATAAATCACAATTTTGGAAGATGGACACTCTTTTAGACCCCTTCAACATGAAGAAGCCTTTTGATAATCTCATTTTGCCTATTCTACTCCATCCATCCCAAACTACTTAACCTACTTCCCTTTATTTNCTAAGGGCTAACAGTATTTGTTTTGCTCAAGGCTAGGCGTATAATAGATTTCTGGATCTCGAGATTAGCTTGTTTTGGGCATTACAGATACACATTTGTAGTATTTTCTTCACTGTACGAGAATTATAATATGGGGGTTGTAATACAATGAGTAATAATCAGTCTTGGATCTTTGTTCATAATATACTAAAATCTGGAATAGCTATGTATCATTTAAAAGATTCGTGGTATATAAGATGGATAAAGTCTTTATAATCATGTAACATGGAGTTTATAATTAAAAAAATAGTGGTTAATTAATGTATAATCTTACTTCATTAAATTGATTTTACCATAGTAAGTTATATTGATTTGATGTAAATATTGTTTTAGGCTCAAAAGCAAATAAAACTACCGAAATATATAGAAATAATTTGTTCCATCTTGAAATTGAGTCAAATTTTCACGAAGAATCCTCGGGCATTTTTGGACCATTGGCAAGTAACAAAAATTAACCATCAAATTTTATAAGCGGTTTACCTTTGAAAGAAATGGCTATGCGCATCTTACGATATTGTCATTTTGTCCATTGTCTGATCAGAAGCATTTAGTATTTAAACAACATTTTTTCACCAACAAAGACTCATATTTTTAACGTTGTTGCTTTCGTAAGTTACAACAAAGAGGGTTTGACCCCTAAAAAGCCAAGGGTTTGACCCAATTAAGACCTTCTTCCATACATTTTAGAAAAACAACAACAGATTAATTCTTTAGAAAAACTTCAACTGCAATTCTTAGTTAACTAAATAATTTTTTCTTCAGCTAGTCTTCCTAAAAGAGGAAATATCCTTAAATGGGAGGACCTAAGCTGATAAATTTGTCTCTGTTTCTATTTTCCACTTTTTTGGCTATAATTCCAAGCTTAAATGGTCACATTGGTGACTTTGATGAAGTGTGGCGGAGGCGAGCCCAAGAAGCAGAAGAATGGGCCCTTAAGGCCTATGAGCCCGACCCGGTTAATGTCACCCTTGCTTTTGCCAAGCAAACTAAGGAGTACGTTAATTAATTTCGTGTCTCTTTCTAATTTTCTATTTTCTGCATGGCTATTTAATAATCTATTGTATATGTTTCATTTCTATATAATTTGGGGAACCAAACTATTTTTCCTTTCAAGACTACAACTTTTTGACACATTTAAATGTATTTAAATATAAAAAGTTACAATTTGTAGCCATTTTTATGTTGGATGAAGAAATTTAGAGATGATGGCTAGCAATTACTTATTTGATCAAGATCTTAATTATTACTAACATAAAACTTCAAAACAGATCAATGAAGGAATTAAAGGAAGTGAAGAAGCTGGCAACAAATGACACAAGGAGGGAGTTAAGAGGTTTTCACAAAAAATACGCTGGGCCTTGTTTAGTCACCAATCCCATTGATAGGTGCTGGAGATGCCAAGGTAATTGGGCCGACAATCGGAAAAGATTAGCAGATTGTGCATTGGGCTTTGGTAAAGGGACCACCGGCGGCAAAGCCGGCCGATTCTACGTCGTCACTGATTCTTCCGACGACAGTAGCAACCCTAAGCCGGGAACCCTACGTCACGCTGTCATTCAAAAGGAGCCATTGTGGATCATTTTTGCAAAAAGCATGAACATTAGATTACATCAGGAGCTGATAATGCAAAGCGATAAGACCATTGATGGTCGTGGGGTTAACGTTCATATTGCATATGGCGCAGGTATTTTTGAAATATACAATTTAAGTGGGCGTTTGGACATAAGAATTGTAAAATTCCAAAAAAAAAGTGAAAACAAATTTTCAAGTCAAAATGGTATTTGAAAATTAGAGTTGTATTTGGACATGAATATAATTTTGGATTGTTTTTGCAGTTTTATGAGTGATCTGAGTGAAAAATTTTGAAAAATAATTTTTTGGAGTTTTTCAAATTTTCGATTTTAAAATTCATTTTCAAGTGAAAATTAAAAATTTTATGGCCAAACATTAATTTCGGAAAAAGTGAAAAAAATTTCAAAAAAAAGCGAAAAAATTGTTATGTCCAAACCGGCTCTAAGTGTTTAAAGCCGCGATTTTAAGTGTTTGGATAATAAGCTCATAAACTGAACAGTTCAAACTAATTTATAACTACTTTTTGGTCTATCTACGTGTGAT